GTCCGCCAATTGCAATAATTTTGTTTTGTGTTTCGATAATTTTGTGTTGTGTTTCACAGATATTATGTTGGGTTTCACAATATCATGCTGTGTTGGGCAAATATTTGTTGCGTTTCACAAATATTGACTCGTGTTTCAAAAATGTTGTGTTGTGTTTGTTGAGCTTGCAGATATGGGCGACTGTAGAAAAAACACCGTACAGAGAACGGCAAACGTACAGATGTCACGAACCGTAGAAGTCGTGTATCATACCATTTTACACTGATATGATTGTTGTGGACAGGCCCTGTTCTACCTCGTGCGAGATATACTAGCACTCAACTAACGTCAAGGAGCATAAAGCAAAAAATACGCACTCAACATATAGCATTAACCCCATTTTAAACGCGGGTTTGCAAAAAGGAACATGTGCGTATACATCAAAATAACTCCACACTGCAGATCAGCCATCGAGAGCTTAGAAATCTAGAAAAAATGCTGTCAAAGAAACACAAAGTAACAAGGTGGAGCTTCAAACACATAAGGATCAAAAAACACATTACGCCATTGGCTAGCTGTTATAGCCAATAGAAACCAGGCACTTTCGATCCGTCACAAGGTTACACATCATGGAAGTTTGTGCCAAGCCGCAGAACGTCTAACATTCTCACACTGTATGTGTGAGTTGCGCTAGCAACCACAGACGTACAGAGTATTTTAGAAATACCGGCAACTGATCGATGAGATCCATATGGAGAGTCGAAACCATGGTCTTGCCTGAACTAGGCCGAACAACAGGGACCTTAAGATACGAGGACGGGAAGGCCAGGACGGGAACGGGAGTGCACGCGGCAAACTTTCGCGGGTCCCGTCGTGTCGCCAAAGACAAAATGATTAACATGAGTATTTTCGTAAAGGACGGCGACTTCAATAACTTGAACTTCGTAAAAGCTATTCAAAAAAGCAATGACATCCTTTCGACTAAAGAGATTGTAGAAATCTTATCCTATTAGGCTTAAACGATGGTGAACAGTCGATGCTGAATTTATTCTT